CCACTTGTCGTTCCGGGATCACTGTGTCCTTGCACATTTAAGCTTTTCACGGCTCATTACCAGAGCCACTTCTCCTTTGAAAAACCCCACATGTACTTTCGCCATGTACTTTCACAGCTTGCGATGCTTTGGCAGCAGCTGTCCTCTCCAGGCCTTTGGTAGCAGCCGTCCGGCAGCAGCAGCTCCCCTAACGGAGAAAAACCAGTTCCTAATCGCAACGTGGTCATACTCGATAGCACGGGTTAGGAGAACGAACTTTGATCACTTCTTTGGAGGGGGGGGGGTACGTGACAAGACAGTCGTAGTACATAGCGCCGGTGGGCGTGGCGAGGGACGCCGCGCAAGGTAGACGAGTTGTCCTCTCTAATCGTTTGAATTTTGAATATCAAAGTCACGGGAAAAAATGGTATATTACCCTTCACGGAGTCTTGTCTTCGCCTGAATTCACATCCCCCCCCCCCTCAAAGAGATTTTAACTGATAGAATCGTAAGACTGATGGACATCGAGAACTCGCCACGCATCGTCGCACGATGTGCCGCGCGCGACGAAGCGACAAAGCGCGATTGTCTTGTCCGTCTACTCTTTTGAGGAGACAACCGTTCCCATATTTGAACTGAACACGTCTTTATTACTTTTCAAAAAACAGTTGCAGTACAGTGAACAGTTCCTATATTTCGAGCATACACTACATCAAAATGCAACGGCTCCGACTTCAATACGATTTAGGATGGTGGTGGAGGGGGCGGATTTTCGCCAACTTGAATGTCCTCGTAGTTGTTGTCACCACCCTGAACATTCCGTAATCAGAAGGTGTTGAAATTATCAGCCATAAAAAATTGATTACATCAGCAGTAGGAGTTGGAATTGGTTTCGGTGGCGCAGAGGCCGGTGCAGCCGCTGCTGGTGCAGGTGGTGCAGAAGCCTGTTGCGAAGGTGTTCCAGCAGCCTGTTTACGAGCAGGGTCACCTCGGCCAGAGTTATCTTGTTTAGGTTCCCCTGAATTAAAAGAAACTTAGGCGTTTATACTCAGCGCCCAACTGGACAAATGGTAGTGTGGAAAACACTACCAGTTGTGCAGTTGGGCCAAACGCCCAGCAACTGTGATATTTCCCGGAC